TATGTCAACACTGTCTTTGTATAGGCCACTTGTCCATTAAGATGTGTGTGGTGTTTATTAACCCCATTTAAATTCTTTGGACCCGGTATGAAAAGAAACCCCTGAACTAAAGCCATGAGGTAAAAGGTTAAAATAATTTTCTATGTATCCATGAAAAATACCATAAAAGCGAGAAAAACCTATGCAAAATAATATGGGTTAAAATCCAGTCTAAAAAAAGAGGCTTAAATCACGATTACAAAAAGGCTAAAAACCAGGCACCGCTGCTGCTCAGTCTTTCGGTTGCCTGTGTGCGGCTCCAGCTCTTTGAATTCATCCCAGTCCTGGTTCTTTGGCCACGGAGTGAGCCTTGGCCTGAGCCTGAGCCTGAGCCTGAGCCTGAGCCTGAGCCTGAGCCTGAGCCTGAGCCTGGGCCTGGGTATGAGCCTGGGCCTCCACACCATGGCCGCTTCAATCGCTCTCCGGCTCTCTTCTGCTCCCCCTCCCCATCTCCTCCTTTTGTACTCGAGGCGTAAAAAGTCTAAAAACACATAATACATCATTTAAAACCAAGCGACCCTTTTACACCACCCGACATAAAGATAAGCGTTGGCCTCCTGCTCCTTCTATGATCAGTGTTGCCCTGGATGGAGCTGCAGTTTAGACAGACAGCCGAGTCTTGGTTCCATTCCCAGATGATGGATTAAACTGTGCTCTGTGAGACGTTCAAAGCTTTGTAAAAGTTTGAATAACCGACCCCTCAAAATTTATCCGTGACCTCTGACCTCTGACCTGACTAGAAGAGGTCGGCCTCATCTCCACACACAGCTTTTGGGCGTTTCTCACGGGGGGAGAGGAAACTGTGTCTCTCAGCTGGCCTGGGAACACCTCAGGATTCCCCCAGATGAGCTGGACTCTGTGAGAATAGGGAAGTCTGGGCTCGGCTCAGACTGCTACCCGGCAACAAATATGATGATATATGTTTAAAAAAAACAACAACAGTGGAGTCATAACCAGAGAACTAACCAGGGGACACTGTAATGTACAAAGGCGCACTACTCTCACTTAGCACTCTCACTTCTCAGCAGGTTCGAATCCCGGTCAAAACAGGGTCTTTCTGAGTGGAGTTTGCATGTTCTCCCCGTGTCTGCGTATGTTTCCTCCGGGTGCTGCTGTTTCCCCTACCACTAAAAACATGTACAATAGGTCTGGCACACGTTCCACGTATCAAAAGCCAGATGGTGTGTGTGCGTGGACTGGGTCGCCGAGGTGGCCGCCTTCGACTGCTGCCCAGTCCTCTCTGCACCATCCCACCACGGTGGAGTTGACACATCCCATTCAATTCTATTCAATTTATTGTTGTATAGCTCAGATACAGTAGGTTGGTCTTGCACTTTTTCACTTCCTTAATTCAATTTCTAAATGAACTTGAACTCTTAGGCAGGTGCGTATTTGCATCTGAATCGACAGTAAAAAAAACATGTATAAAACACTTCACAATCTATTTGTTAGTTAGTTCTGCTGTGACAGAGTTTTGTGTGTAAAGGGCGTTTTAAGCTCATATGGTTGTTGTTGGTGGTGGTTGACACCTCTGTTCTTCGTTTTTCTCTTTTGTATAAACCATTAGAGTGCTACAACAATGTGGCCCCTTCCAGGAATGAAAAGCAGAAGTTACTATTCAAACTCGGAATGCCACTAAACTATAACACAGTAAGTAAGTCAGATTAGGGCACCTTAACCCTAACCCAAAAGGAGTTTTCAAATAGTTGATCAACTTTTTTTCACAGGTATCACTGTAAATCCTGACGAGTAAAGTTTACTTGAAAAATCCTTGGAAATAAATTGCACATTAATTTCACTTGAATCGCTCGAGTACATCCTTTACTTGATATTACCAAGTGATTGCAATAAAGTTTAAATTTCAACTTATGCTCTGACTGGGATTCTCACTTAAAACCTTGTAGTTGAGAGGTGAAGGTGCTACCCACTCAGACACAGGGCCACCCTGTCATCAACACACCTGCCTTATTAAAGAGTCTACATGTTCAAAATGTCAAAAGTGAGGCTTACTTGAACAGAGACAGTTCAATTCAAAGAAAACCCTGAATGATATCACTGTAAAAAATACAACTCAAAATTGTTCACCTTACTAAGATTTTTGCATTCACTGACAACAAAATTGCCAGTTGGAACTGCAACTGTCTGTTGTGAGCCACTTGAACTCACTTTCAGAAGTTTCTGATGAAAAGTTCATCTTCTTTGATATATTAAGTTGATTTTACTTTGAAGTTATGGTGAACTTCTGAAAGTGAGTTCAAGTGGCTCACAACAGACATTTCCAGTTCCAACTGGAAATTTTATTGTCAGTGAATGCAAAAATCTGAGTAAGGTGAACAATTTTGAGTTGTCGTTTTTACAGTTCACCGAGCTAGAGGGAGGTCAACTTATCTGCGTTTGCTCATTTAAATATTTGTCATGGCAACCAGCTGCATTCAACATTTTGAAAAAACTAAAATGACCAAAAAAAAATCATTGTATTTATTTTTACCAACCGTAAACAGGGCCAAGCCAAAGTAGCCCCATATATTCCCTGGGTCAGTCTTAGAAACATTAGTTTTCCCACTAATCGGGTTAACAGCATGTGCGGCACGGTAGCTGAGTGGATCGCACTTGCTTCTTAACACGAAGGTCCTGGGTTCGAATCCTGGTTGGAAAAGGGCCTTTCTGAGTGGAATTTGCATGTTCTCTGTGTCTGCACAGGTTTCCTCCGGGTGCTCCGGTTTCCCCTGCCCAAGTGACCTTGGTCTGTAAAATGCACTATATAAATAAATATCATGATGGTTTAATGTGGGGGCTAATTTAAACTCAAAATAGTAAGTTGTTGTAGCGGACAGTAATCTGAACTTAAAAAAGTACGTTTTTGCAGACTTGAAATTTCCAGTAACTTGAATTTAATTCTTAGTTGGCAGAACTTGGAAAACTTAGCTGACACAGCTTAATAATTGTAGTTCTTCAAAACGTGAAGAATTAAGTTAATGCCTTCAACTCAAAAATCCTTTGCAGCTGGTTGCTTTGAAATTTTGAGTTGAACTAACTTTTTCTTTTTTACAGTGTAGCCAAGCTTTAAATAAACTAACAATAAATGAGTAATCTTTACTTACTGGGGAAAAATCTATTTAAAATAACTTTGATATCTGAAGTAAGATTGAAGTTAGGGTTTGCAGTTATATGGCCACCTTTTTCTAATAACTCTAACAACAATAAAATACCAAGACATGTGTTCCAAATCGCAATCTGTGAATATAGGGTTGAGACAAAATACCAAGATTTTAGAGCGTCCCATACAGAGATGTTGTTCCAATGCCTTTGACTCATCTCATGCTTTAGGGCCACCTCAGAGCTTATCACATGTTTTACCTTTAGATGTGAGTGCTGTGAGTGGCAAAGGCGGATCTGAAAGTGGTTTTGCCCTCAGCTGCGGTGGTTTAGTGCTGGTGTGTGTGTGTTTGGCTTCCCTGCTGTTAGTGAACTCTGGAGTGTCACAGCATGCAGTAATGCAAGGGAGAAAAAATACTGTAACATTTGGTAACATCAAATTTAAAGCTTGTGTATCAAACTTTCGATTTAATATTTACTACATGTTTGCATATTTGTCCCAACAGGAATAATTTTCTTTTGAACAAACCAGGTCACAGCTTTCTGTCTTTATTTTATTAGAAAACACGTCTTTTCATTTTTTGACGGTTTGGGCTGAGAGCTGATCGTCTGAGTGAGGGTGGACCATAGATTCATGGGGTGGACCCAAAGATGTGACATGGGCCAAAAATACATGTGAAAACTAGAGATAGAACCAAACTGTTTTGAGAGATCTTGTCGTCAACCCTTAGTTATACCGTGTAAGTATGAGTCTGGTGTGTGCGTGAATGGTTAGTGGAGATGGGGCTGATACTTTATCACCCCTGTTCATGGAGTAAATCTAAAATACCATGTTTGGTGTTTTTGGGTGTCCAGTGTATAGCGCTATAACACATAACATTTTGACTGTAGGATCCAACAACCTAAAAACTGGCCAAAAACGTGGATGTGCCAAAAAGTTCTTAGCTTGGGCACTCAAAGATGCTTCACATTATTCACTCCCTCCATGCATGATGGTGACGCCCACTCAGGTTTTTAAAAAGGCAACATTTAAATCATACGGGGATGTGTGGTGCCACGTGCCCATAAAAGTGTGAGTAGATTGTTGCAACATTCTTGAAAATATTGGGTAAACCTTTACAACTACACTGTGCACTACAGAGTTCAGCACATTTTGAAAGATTTCCCGTATTATCATCTTGAGTAATCCAATTTGATGCACTGTAAGACATAATTCTGTCTTGCCCCAACCCCTACAGTAAAAATGTTCTCTTGCATTTACAAATATTACAATTATAATCCTCCTTGTATAGATATTGATTCCCAAATTCTCAAATAACATTCAACATTTGAAGAGTTAATTTGAAAAATTACAGTTGAGAGTATAACACTAACATTTGCCCTCTGCGGGGCAATTAAAGGTGCTGTGTATTGGGTTTTGAAAATAAAAATAACATTTGTATTGCAATTAAGGCTGTAATCAGTTTACAATTCTTTATCAGCTGAATGTACATGCACAGTTGATCGATTAGTCTAAATTAGCTAAAAAGAAAATAAACTATATAAATGACATGAAAATCACATAAAACTCACTATTACCAAAAGTGTTGAAATACGTGTTGTAAATGAATATATTAACGATCTGTAAATACCAACATATTCAGCTACTTTGCTCCATAGCTTCTGTTTTTTTTTGTTGCTTTTTCCCCATAGAGATTCTTATTAATTTAGACAAAAGGTCGATTTGCAAATTTGGTCGACTAAGGGTCCATCAACTGATTAATCAACTAAATAGAGCGGCTTTAACTGAAATACCACAACATTTCACCACCTTCTATATTCACATACCAGCATCTTTAAAGCTGCTGAAACAGGTACTTTTCAGGATGTCAGAAGCCCTGTTGCATCTGTGTGTGAGAACTTTGGGTGTGGTGTTTGTGACGATGTAATCTCCCCCGGTCCACTTCCCCATCAACAATGAGCTGCAAAAACCCAAGTGAGTGACAATTAGGGTCACTCTCACTCGGCATCCCCAGCAGAGACCCGGTAAGTCCCTGCACTACCCCCACATGCATTGGTGTATGCTTTCATTACTGTACTACTATCATGCATATATATTTGAAGTACTTTTAAAGAGTGTATTAGTATTCAAGCTGCAGTTTGCAATTATTTTTAACAGTTTTTTTCATTTGTGCAAAGTATTACCTACAATCTTTTTTTCTGCTGCTCATTGTAGCAAAAGTTTTTGTTTGTTTTCAATCGTCTGCCTAATGTGCATGTGGTAATTTAAATGCCCTCTTCAGCTGTTCCTTGTGCAACGCTAAGCACCATGGGAACTTTAAATTTTAAACATGCAGCCACATGAAAGAAGGCAACAAAACACTCATCCGGTTTCAAACTTTTCAACCTTTTGTTTTGAAGAAATGTCTAAATACATCTTATTACGTTAGTGTTTTTCCTTGTTTATGGATTCATTTAAAACTGGGATACCATTTTTTTCTATATAATAAATAACACTTTTGCTTGTCCCGATTCTTGTACAAGTAAAATGTTGTAAACAAATTGGGCTACATCTTCTTTAGTGAATATGTGTAAGAAAGAGCCCTGTGAGTCATGGTTTGAAGCTCTGGTCTGAGAGCTGATTGGCGGGATGAGGGTGAGCCTCTCATTTTCACTTTTCTGCCAGAAAGAACCTGATCAAATCTGATCAGGCGGCATGGTGGCTTAGTGGTTGGCATGAAGGTTTCACATCCACAGAGGGCTTTTCTGAGTGAAGTTTGCATGTTCTCCCCATGTCTGTGTAGGTTTCCTCTAGGTGCTCCGGTTTCACCACTAAAACATGTACAGTAACTCCCCTCTTACTGGGGCTAGGACCCCCATGATAATAGATTCTGAAATGTCAGTGGGACCTTACTGGTTATATAAAGGTAAATAAAAGCTGTGACGGACCAAAAGATTCATGCATCTGAAAATTTTTGATAGAACCAATTTTTTGTGATTTCAAAGTTTGGTCTTCCAGCAATTAATAATGTAATGTGCAGAAGCTTTTCAGGGTTTCATATAATGTTCCGTCATGTCAGCTGTGTATGTTTTCATGTTTGATAGATTCATTATAAAAAATTCTTTCTTTGCAGGTGTGTTGTCCAGAGCATTTGGTGCCATGAAAGCCTGTCTCAACACAGGAGTTTCACACTAACTCTCCAACTCAAACCGGTCACTATGTCCCACTTCTCCGCCCTGACCTGCGCGCACAAGTACCACTCCAACTATGACGAGACCTCCAACTCCTCAGCCCTGAACCGGGTCATCCTGCTTCACTACAACCACACAGGACGCCTCCACAACCGCACAATCTCCGGCTCGTCCAGCGGCCTCAGCCTGTCTGTGCTCCTCTTCCTCTCCTTCAGCGTCTTCATCGTATTGGAGAACTTGCTGGTTCTTGTCGCGGTCCTTTCTCAGATCCGCAGGAGTCGACGCTGGGTGTATGTGTGCATTGCCAACATCACGCTGTCCGACTTGCTCACTGGGGCTGCCTACTTAGTCAACATCTGCCTGTCGGGTTTCCAGACCTTCCGACTAACCCCTGCCATGTGGCTATTCCGCGAGGGGATGCTTTTTGTGGCCCTAGCAGCGTCTATATTCAGTCTTTTGCTTATTGCTGTTGAGCGATACACTACTATGATGAAGCCCCTGCCACAAAAGTCCACCAGGACATCCTACTACCGTATCTATGGACTGGTGGTCCTCTGCTGGCTCCTGGCTTTGGTCATAGGCTTTCTTCCTCTGCTTGGGTGGAACTGTGTTTGCAGTCTGGACAAATGCTCCACTCTCCTCCCACTCTATTCCAAATCATACATCTTATTCTCACTCATCATCTTCTTCCTCATCCTCCTGGCAATCGGAGTGCTGTACAGTGCCATCTACTGCAGTGTTCACAAAACTGCCCAGCTGAACCCCCAAAGAAGTCGAAAGCGCTCCATAGCTTTGTTAAAGACTGTAATCATAATTGTTGGGGTGTTCTTGCTCTGCTGGGGGCCACTCTTCCTGCTTCTTCTTGTGGATTTCTTTTGCGAATCTCGCCAATGTGCTCTGCTCTTCAGCGCTGACTTTTTCATCTCTCTGGCTGTATTGAACTCGGCCCTTAATCCCATTATTTATGCACTGGGCAGCAGTGACATGAGGAGAGCCATGGCTGAGCTGCTGTGCTGCTGCTGTCTGAAGATGGGTTTTTGTAATGCAGAGCAGTTCACATCCAAAGACACCAGCAGCACATCTGAGAGCAGAAGGGACAGTCTGAGGAACAGTTTCAGCAAGATTAGGAATCTCAGTGTGGTGTCTCCTCTAACTTCTCCCACAAAGACTAAAAAGAAGGGCCGAAAGGGAAGGCGGAGCTCCACCACCACCTGCCTGTCAGTTTCAAGTGGTTAGACCACAAGGCCCCCCTCCCAAACTGCCATCACCTCTACATTTCCTGTGCATAGAAACTAGTTCAGAACAATGTATATTTGTACAATATTATTGTATTTGATATGTGTATACTTTTTATATATATGCAGAAGGTTTATTCTAAGTGTGTCTAAGTGTATGTTCCACTATTAAAACATCAAATGTTACAATGAGAAAGTAATCTGTGTTTTATTTCCTCAATAGCTACTGAGTTGAACTAGTACAAGCTTGGATATGGAGTAAACCCGCCTATATACAATGTCATTTTAAATACCCTACCAGTCCTGAAATTGATTAATACCACTCAGTACAGACCATTACAAGTACTGATACCAAACTGTTTTCTCCTTCCACGTATACATTATAATTTTAATTCTGAATAATCGTAAACACACATTGTCCAACAAACGCTCATTTTCTCCTCCAGCAGATGGAGTTGTAATTCTGAGTTTGCACTGATGCAGTTGGTCTGTAGCCTCCTCACAGTCCAGTGCTTCTATCTGACAGTGAGTGATGGAGCTCAGAGCTCTGGGACTGCAGCCCTGAGGCGCACCCAGCCACAGCTAATTGATAAATTCATTATGACTGTCTGGAAAATTACAGGAGCAGATCAGGTTCAACAGATACAGCACTGGCCTTGTACTCACAAACTGGAAACATGCAGAGATGACTCTATCCAGGGATTACATCATAATCCAACAAGAATTAAAAAGTAGAAAAAGGCTAAAAACTGGAAAATCTTTTTACATACATTGAGTTTGTCCCAATAGTCTTGTTTGAACACATCAGACCACATACAAAACACTGTCTATTTGATTTTTTTCATACTGATGAGTGTCTGAGTGAGGACCGGTAGTCTTTTTCACTGCAAGAGCTGATCAAAAGATGTGTGTGAAAACCACAATGTTTTGAAAGCGAGGAACAAGTTACTTGGATTTAAGCTAAGATAAGACAGTCCTTTATTCGTCCCAAATTTCAACGTCATCATTGTGCATTACAGCAGAATAAAAGGAGGAAATAAGAGCACTCAGATTGTACAAATCAAATAGGATCTATCATTTAAGATGATAGATAATGTGATAACGTAATAAGATAATCCATTAACACATGCTAACACTTTACTTCAACTACAGGCTTATCTTCACATGGACATTAATCATCTGTATTTGTCAGATTTCATGTTTGTCTTATTTTCATGTCACATTAAATCTAAAACATATGGAATGTGTTAGCTATTGTCACAACCTAAAGTACAGGTCAAAAGTGCAGGATTTATATTCTAACTAATTTGGACTCAAACATGAGGAACAAATTGTTGCGTGGATGTGACATCACAACATTCTAATGAGCCTATAGTTTAACATCTTGGTAACTGATAACTATCTAGTCTTGTATTATCTGTAATGAAATCTGTAATTCCTGGGCTCCACATGGAAATTTTCATTTTTTCATAAAGGTTAGAAAAAACATCCATGATGTTGGCCTGTAGAAAGAACTTTCAGACATAAAAAACTATGGCAGGTTTTGTGAGTCAAACAATGATCTGGATTATATTTTTCATCTTATTTTATTTTTTTGTTCACAAAATACTTCTTTTCCATAGAGTTTAATTGGTACCTGCCCTCCATCTGAAATAGAATTCGAGAGCATGAACACAACCCATTGCGTGGAAAACATGTTTAAAGCAGCACAAACACAGCTTGTGTTTATTATGGCCCTAAAACAAAACAGGTAGTTTCTGGTCCTGTTGGACGACGGTTGCTGTCTACACGTTCAAGTTTAGAGCGGAGTAAATCCTGTGTCTTGGCTTCGCTCCAGCTCTTGTGCCATTTGAAAAAGCTACAATAAATTCTTTGCTTTATTAGCTCAACGCGCAGACATTTTTTGTACTTCACTTGACATGCTAGGAGCTGATGAGCTGCTCCCCTACAACAACAGGCTCTAAATGAGCTGGATGGAAGAATGATGGTTGCGTGCAGACGTGGCTTTGCCCTCAGTAATTACACGCTTTGCCTGCAGGTGTGCAGCAGACGGCTCATCATGAGTCTGAGGCCAAGCGCTTAAGTCCAATAAACTCTATCTCACATCACAAATTCTAACTCTTCTGTTGCTTTTTCTATTTGAGAAAATGTAATGTGTAAAAATTTAATGGCATGGAAAAAAATTGACTTCCTCAAAAAAGAATCTTACCACTTCAAAGTTCAGAGAGAGAGAGAGAGAGAGCACTATACAGGTCCTAAACCCTCATTTAATTAAAGCTTGAGGACCTAGTTAAATCCATCTAACTAGTTTCTAGCTCTCACAACGGTTTGGAAATCACTAGTTTACTCAAGTATGCACTTTTGGCCTCTCTCAATTCAGTACCAGCCCTCACTCAAACCAGTCAGCTCTCAGCATGTAAAAGATAACATATTTCATAATTTGATAAAGACAGCATGTGATGGTCAGACTTATTCACAAAACGTTACTCAAACCTGTTGGGACAAACACAATGTATTTATGAAACAAAAATGTAGTTAGTATCATTTCCAGATAACGTGCCTGAATGAATTATTTAAACCAAATGTAATAATATTCAGGTTTGGGAACTGAGGTCACTCCAGAATCTGCTGATATTGAGAAGAAATCATGCGTCCCTCAACGTTAACAAGATTCCCACAGAGCCACGCAGCATCATCACGGAACCACCTCCACATTTTACAGAAGGTTTTCAATTGTTGTTTTAGAGGGTTAGGGTAAAGATGGCTTGTCCAAATGTGCATGATTGGGTTCACAAGTGCATGGAGGTCAAGGGTCGCTGAGGTTAGAGAACATGTCTTAGTTCCAATGATCAGTGCTAAAGTTGTTGAAAGGTGCCTACATTTATGCACAAGCCTAGATTGGTTTAAATAATTTTTGCACACTTTCTGTGGACGATACAAACTATTTCCCTTCTCAAAAATCACTGTTTCTGTCTCCTATATGATATATTTAACTGAAATTCCTTACCCAAATTACCAATGGTTTATAAAGGAAAATAAAAAACAAATTGACCTTTTACCACTGCCAGTGTGGCAGGCGTAGAATACACACACAACTTATTTTCAGTTTGTCTAAACATGAATACAAATAGCAAACGCAAAACCGATACAAGTTTACTATGTATGATTGTGGGATATATTTATGTATTTGGACCCCATTAGCTTCCACAGGTGGTCCCTAGTATTCCTGGGTTTCACAAACAATTAACTCACATAATGTTTCAAACATACAGCATGAAAAGAGATAATAGATGTATTATGCAATACTTAATAACCCAGAAATGAATTAATATTTCACATCATCCTTCCCCATTCATTCAGGCATTGTTTTTTTTGTTTTTTTCTAAAAAAATATGTCCATTATTAGTTTGCCTTGATGCCATAGACAGCTGATTCCACGCAGCTGAGGATCCAAACAGAGTCACATGGTGATGGCAATAACTGCTGTAATGGTTTTTATACATGGCATTATGCATAAAGCAAATGTATAGAAAATAAATAAACTGCATGCAAAGGCATTTACATCTGTCCCTATACAATACATAAATACAGTATCTGCAGTATACACATCTAAACGGGAAGCTTACACTCCACAGAAGGTCGCATGGCTGGGAATCATACATGGAAAGATGTTGTTTGTGCCCTTGTCGCACAAAAATACATTTCAAAAAGGTACATTCTTCTCTAAATTCTCACCATTTTCTTAGCAATTATTTTGGGATTAAATAATATCGCAGACTTTGCCTTGACTCAAACATCTTGACGTACATGTCTCTGTTTGTGCAGCTGTCACACACATAATCCCTGCATTGATGTTGCACAGACAAAGCATGTGTTCACTGTGATTCACTTTGAGGTTTCACGTATTTCCTTATCAAGACAATGTTGTTTTGTGGGAAACCTTTTATCCCTCTTCAGTAGCTATATAGCAAATATTGTGGTTTACATAGTTTTCTTTGTAGAGAATGTTTGTACGTATTACTTGTCAGGTCCTTTGAAGAGAAACATTTTTTTATGTAGCACTTTTCGTACGAGACTGCAAATCAATGTGCTTCACAAAGACAAAACCAGAGCTGGGATTTATCTTTTGTTATCATTAGGTCTAAGAAAAAGGTATACCAAGGATTGTCTAGAATATCTCTCCTCACTCTTCATCTTCTTTTCACCATCTCCTGCCTTTACTTCCAATTTACAGATGAAAACAGTAGAGTTATTAGGAAACACGGCAAATGGCGCCTGGTCATGGATCTGAGACCAGTCATTTTGCACTAAAGATGATGAGCAACATTTTTATATCCAACACATCATTGAACTAGTGTCTAAATGACTCTTGAGCCGGATGGTTAAAGGTGCCTCAGGGTGAATTAGCCCGACTGCTGGCCTCACTGAATTTCCCAGAAGCCTGAAAAGTAAGAACTTTGTGCAGCAGATGTTCCCGCTCAGCTTTTGAGCAAATTATGCGGCCTCAGAGCACAGAGCTGCGCACCAGACCACACTGATACTGAGAAGGGCAACAACAGCACATCGGGCTGAAGGAAGCAGCCACATCATGAAATCTGGTCTGCCTTTGAGAGCACGAGATGAAAGACAGACTGATAACTTATTGGAGACTATAAAGAGATCCCCAGGCTTTGGTCTGCACAGCTGCCTCTGGCCAGGCCCCTGTTTATGAGACGATACATGTTCAGATTGTCATGTGTTTGAGTCCAGTGCAGGGAGAGGCCGCATCTGTGAACAAGTGGAAGGGAAATGTATCCTTAAAGCAAAGTGTTGATGGAAGCTACACAATCAATCTGGTCAATTTGGTCTGAAACCTATCCTGTCTTCAAAAGTCATGTTAATGTTTATCAAATAAATGCAAGACCACATTTTGATTGGTTAACAAGACTTTAATGTACCTGGGAGTTTTCTAGTCAATACCATAAATACTATGTATTTCTGTACAATTGGGGTAAGAGACAT